GGGGGCGGGGTCTGGCGTGATGCTTGCTTTTCTCCCCGCAGGGATTATCTACGATGTGATTGTGGAACCTCCCAGCGTGGGGTCGATGACAGACGAACACGGGCATCAGAGGCCGGTGGCCTTCTTGGCATACAGGTAGGAGCAGGGCTCAGCCCTACAAGTGAGGTGCTGCCAGTGGACAAAGTGACTAAACCCGCCTTGCAGAGCTGTCTGTCTGCTTTGGTTTGAGCTCTGTGCAAAGCAGGAGCTGCTCTGTATCTGTCCTTGGTTTGTAAATATTTAGAAGAAACAAGCAAACATTGGAATCAATGGAAAGAGAAAAACTTAGTCCTTCCAAAGCTTTTAAAAATGAAAAATCTGGTAAGAAACAAGTTTGGAGCTGGCAGTACTTCTCTCTCTTCCAATCCCTTGCTGTTAAAGTTGAGTTTTATGGTGGGTGTGGACACGTTTGGTCATAGCAGCATACATAATGTTTGTGAAACTTTTTGTTCTGGCCTTTTAATCTCTAATGTGACTGGGTACTTGTGTATGAGCGTGGGGAAAGTAGTTAGAAGTGTGTAACAACAGTGTCTTATTTGAGTGTTTTGCTGTTATTACTGAAAATAAGCTAGAGATTGTGTAGTCACAAATTGGTCTGAAGAGCGTTAAATCTACATCTGTAACTTTTTTTTAGGTTTCGTTTTGGTTTTTTGTTTGGTTTTGTTTTGGTGTGGAAACAAGTAATGGTTTTTGTTAGATGCAAAAACAATTGTTTAGATCTGTGAGGTCTGCGACATGCAGATTTTGACTTGGACTAGATGTGGTCTGTGTCTCAGACTGGCTTGAATTGCTGAGGGGTAGGTGAATCAGGTTACTGCAGGGAGGTGATAGCACTGTAGTAAAATTCAGTGATAACAACATGAAGATGAAATTGTTTTCAGAATATGAGACAATAAGGTTAATGTTAATTTCTGTATTAGCATCAATATTTGCTTTATCCATGCCACTTTCATGAAATTTCTAGTGTTGCTGTGACTGTAGGAAGCAGGAGACTTGTGATCCAGGTGCAATATTCTTTCTGCATTTCTGCTTCCCCTCGCTGTCTGAGCTTTGTAAGAAGGAAATCCGCCAGTGTGGACTGACCGAGCCCCAAGCGGGGTTCCCACAGTCGATACATGCAGGCTCAAAGAGCCAGCAGCAAAACACACTGCAGGCAGGAACCGCTTCTACTGTGTGCTGGAACCAGTAGATGTGCTTCATGTGCTGCCATAGTGCTTTCAGTGGGGTGTGTACTGAGATGAGGGTTCAGCCACTGCTGCCTAAACATCAGGATGGACAGGAGACTTGGAAAGCTCAGTGGCCCAGGGGTCACAGTTCCATGCCTCGAGTCGTCTGTGAAACCAGGTGCTACTTTGAAGTAGATATTTCTGAAAACTGATGAGCTTGCGTGGTAGCCATTAGTATATGCTATTATGTGTATGCTTGCCTGGTCACCTTGCAGACTACCAGTCCCAGAGATATATTACATATTAAAGCCTTAATGTAATTGCATAACATCAGTTTCCGTACCAACTTTTTGTTAGAAAATCAACCATTAAAGTTAATCATCCTGTGTGTTTGTACAGCTAAAGCAGGTCGAATAGATGGGGTTTGAGATGTAAATAGTTTATCTAAAACTGATCTTTTTCTGACTCTTCTTCCCTCTCCCCTGCTTTGTTTTCTTTTTTAGAGTAAATGGGCAATATATTATGGAAGGGCTCGCATCCAGCTTCCTCTTCACAATGGGTGGCCTAGGATTCATAATTCTGGATCGATCCAATGCACCAAATATCCCCAAGCTGAATAGGTTTCTTTTGCTCTTTATTGGATTTGTCAGTGTGCTTTTGAGCTTCTTCATGGCCAGAGTTTTCATGAGGATGAAATTACCGTAAGTGATTGAATACTCTTTCAGCTTTTCTTCTCTTTTGTGGCTCATGTGCCTATTTTAAATCTAAGAGTAACAGAAAATATAATGAGGTATGCTGAAGACCTGCAGCTTGGCTCTAAGTTGCATTTTTCAATGCTCTTTTGGAACAAGCTACTGTGAATGAGGTGGGATGCTTTTGGGGCCAGCTGTTGTAAGATTGTGCTGTGGTTAAAAAAGGGTGACAGTTCCTGGTATGTCAGAAGATATGATTAGTGAGTCTGACTTACATTGAATTTTAAGGTGGACTAAGTACGTACTGGTCAGGTAAAAGTAATTACAAAGTAGGGCTTTTGGGGAAAAAGCAGGTGTCAAAGAACTTGAAGAATTAGTTTTTTATACTGACAGTGTACATGAGAGATCATAAGCAGGAGAACTGATGGCAGTAGTAATGAGTACAAATGCAGGATTTTACATTTTTTTCCCCTCTTTGTTTCTCAGTCCATCTATTTAATTTAGAATAGCTGAAACCTGATGTTTGGAGGTGCTGGTGGTTAATTTCTGGAGTAGCTTGATGAGGTGTTGACTTAACAATGACAGTCATTCCTCCTTTCTTAAATATTTTTTTTTAACCTCTGCAGTGTAGTTTAAAAATTGTTTCATAGCACAGGGCTTCGGAGAAATGGAAGAGCAAAAGAGACCAGAGTTCTGTTGAGTGCCAGAAAATGTGAGGTTATATTGAATATCTCAACACTGATAGTTTATGTAAAGGGCACAAATAAAGGACCTTTCATAGGGTGTAACCTGGGCTTCAAAAATTCCAGAAATTACCAAAGCCGGATTGAGAACAGGCTAATCCATTGTTAGTGTTCATTGAAGAAAAGCAGCTGAGGAAGAAGCATGTGGTTAAGCTGGCCAGTTTGTACTTTGGACAGGATTTACTGTTTTAAATAGCCTTGATCAACAGGGTTTCTGTCAGCCTGAAGTTTTTGTTTTAAGACTATACATCTCTTGATTTTTTTGAGGAGTGCTGTCTGTGTTTGCTAACTTTTTTCCTGACTTAATTTTTCTCTGCAGGGGCTACTTGATGGGTTAGTACCTCTTGTGATATATGCAAGCCTAAGCTGAAATTACTCCTCTTCGTGAAGCGGTTAAGAAGCAGCAGCAAGAAACAAATTCCATCATTACCATCAACAGGAAAGAGACCTGGCCATGAG